TTCCCCAGGAAAATTATTTAATTAATTCCTGGTACTCATTTCTGTTAGAGGCTGAGTCGACCCCAGGGCCATAGTGCGGCCGGAAGGATTAGGTCAATTGAAAAAAATTCAATTACCTCATTCTGACTTGAACCCACGACCTTCCGGCTTGCAGCATAGTGCCTCAACCAACTACGCTACTGCGTGCCCCCCCCTCTCTAAAAATTATGAGACATATAAACTTTGTTTCTGTATCATAATGGTTTATGTCTTTTTTCACTGTTGTAATTGTTCTCCCGAATGGTATAGAATATGATTTAAATATGAACTTTAATTTATGCTTGGTGACAATACGAATGAGCCAAAATATCTCACTCAGTAAAAGGAATAAATATGACTCGAAAACAAGGATTCAGTTCTCATCAGCGGGCAGGAATGTTTGTCCCTGCACCCGCCCAGTTTCCTTCACAATGAGCGCTGGGGCTCGGTCACTGGAGGAAAGAAGTCGGATTGTGAAACTAATTATTGACCCCCATCGAGTGGCAGTTAAGAACCTCAGCTCTAATGGCGTGATGCTTAAGCACAGGGAAAAGTTTGTTTATAAGATTTTAGGTTTATATGGCTGTGAAGAGTTGGATTTCAGTGTTCTGCTTTATGATGCCATGAAGTGTAGGACATGGTTACCGGCGTTTCGGAGAAACCTACAGCCCCCCCCTTTAGGTTTGAAGACGCAGAGAAGAGGCTTGTTGCAAACATTGGCAACTGCCTACAGAAAAAGTAGACTTGGTGCTTTATGGGTCACACCAGAATCCAAATTTTATTTTTCCTTTCCATTGTCTGAATTGATCAAGTCAAAGGGGATGAGGTCGGCAGGGCATGTAGCACGAATGGGGGAGAAGAGGAATGCATATAGGATATTGGTGGGAAAGCCAGAAGGAAAGAGACCACTAGGAAGACCAGGCCGTAAGTGGGTGGACAATACTAAAATGGCTCTTAGAGAGTGGGATGGGATGGTATGGATTGGATTGATCTGGCTCATGATAGGGACAGTTGGAGGGCTCTTGTGAACACGGTAATGAACCTTCGGGTTCCATAAAATGGTGGGAAGTACTTGGGTAGCTGCAGATTTGGCGGTTCCTAAAGAAGGACTCAGCTCCATAAGTAAGCAAGTATTGTCTGGATAATTGTACTCACACAAACTGAGCATCTGCTGTGACGTTCACAGATTCAGGGATCACGACCTTTCTGTCTGACCCATGGGCCAAGTCTGGTTGTGAGCGGAGACTGGTTTCTGCTGCCATCTTCATGAGGGTCGGTGTTCTCAATGTGAATATAAACGGAAGGCCCATTGCATTAGGAAACTCAAGCATAATATTATCTCTGTAGTAGATTTTGGTGTAATTAAATGTCTCAGGATTCCTATATTTCCGGGCCATGTCTCTCATAACTGTGAAAGAAAACATGACATATTTACTATCATAAATGATAAAATATATGTTTGTGTACGGATTTAGACAAATTATCGACTGATTCATGTCACATACTTTATTAGTAGGAACTATATTGTTATTCTCATCTGTGTCTTATTTCTTGAAGAGATTCCTACTACTGAAATCTCGTTCCGTGTTCAGTGCAGGCTTACAGTACACATTAGTAATTCTGTATTTCAGTATCCTGTTACACATCTTTAACTAAACATCTATGTATTATGTCCGTCAATAATGCAACAATCATTAAAATATCCACCATTTGAACACTAACGCAACATGTTTCGGCCACAGACGGCCAGACAACACCACACGCTGCCAGAAGGAACAACACACAAACCAGGGGCATATGCAGATTACAGACGTAACAAAACAACGGGCTAATGAAACAAAAACAAGCTGCACAAACAAACTGCAACATCACTTAGCTTTAAACAAGTGGACGAGGCCCCTTATGAGCTGGAGTAAAATTTTACGAAAGATTTAATAGAAAAATTTTAATGAATTTTAACTGAATAAGAGGTCTGGGCCCTGGATGGTCTGGAAGAGCCTCATCCTTATCTCCTTAAGTAACAGGAGTTCTCCACGAGGCTTGGTTTTCATGGATTCGAATTTGATCAGCCTGAGACAGAACGTGTCAGTTTCAGTACACATTCATTCATTCATCTGTAATCTGTCAAGACGACAGGTCCACAGTCTCTTCCAAAACAGTTCCTCCACTTGATGCGATCTAGAGCTTTCTCCTTCAAATGAGAATATCCTCTTCTGTCCCCAAGGTCATCAAGCATCTTCTTACATCTTCTTCCTCGTCTTCTGGTCACTTCTATCCGCCCTTCTATCTTTCCTTCAATCACTTCTTTTAGAAGGCAGTTACCGCGTAAGATATGTCAGTACACAATTGCAGAATTTTTTTTTAGTCTAAAGGAAAACATTTCTATAGTACAGCTCCCCAAAATTTCTCAGCAGCCGATTTTGCCAAGTTCTCCGTTCTCAGGATTTTACAAATAATTTTTATAGCATCTGTTCCTTTACAGTAAACAATGACTGAGTGACGTAGAAAATACTTACGCACTGGAATATTCTGCAGCGTGTGATAGTCAAATGGGAAGACCCTGTCACTGCCTGCGTGGAAAAACATGAAGTTTCCTTCTACTTGTTCCATGTTTTCATTTGCAATGTCTGGTATTGTAGCAGTCTCCTCATTGTTCCTCTTAGTGCCTGGTTTCTTGAGGTTTGTTGTTTTGCGGCTACTGGATACTTCGA